CCGAATCTAGAGAGGGCATTGGATGTTTCTTCCTTTCCTTTCCTTTCCTTTCCTTTCCTTTCCTTTCCATTCCATTTTCTTCTTCTTGGGAGATTTTTCTTACACCCTCTCACTATTCTGGGATGTACCTAAAGCGCCTTCAATCCTACATATCTCCAGAGTCTTCTAGGCTTTTGCTCATTAACATTAAAAATGAATCTAGCTAGTTGCCAAATACATTTTTGCTACTTTGAAACAAAAGAGATTGTCTCTTCTGGCTCCCCTCCCCTCCCCCAAAATACTCAAGACTGTACATAAGGCTCACATCCTGGAATAAAGAGGGGGCAGTGAGTCCACTTCAAAGCACCAGCTCAGTCTCTGTCATAAATTCACTAGATGCCATATTTTAACATGGCACATTGAGGACTCTACAGCCTGCTGTGATAAAAAAAACAACAGCATGGGAATGAAATATATAAATATCTTTTATAAATATAAAAATATAATATAAATACTTCATCCTTCATCCCAATTGGGCTGAAAATATTTAGAATTCTCTCTTTTTTAAAAAATGATAGTGATTAAATATAGTAGGACCTACTTCATGGTTGGGCTTATGTTGCACTGTTGCAACTCTTACAATCAATTTCTTACTGTACATACAAAAAAGCTACTTCAGATGAATTTAATAGGATTTACTTCTAAAGAAAGAGCTAGTTTGGTGTAGTGGTGAAGGCACCAGGCTAGAACCCAGGAGACCATGAATTCTAGTCCCACCTGAGGCATGTAGCTAGCTAGGTCGCCTTGGGCCAGTCACTCTCTCTTAGCCCTGGGAAGGAGGCAATGGCAAACACTTCTGAAAAACCTTGCCAAGAAAACTGCAGGGACTAGTCCATGCAGTCACCAGGAGTCAAAAATTGACTTGAAGGCATATGTGCGGGCACATGCGCGCGTGCATGCACACACACACACAGAGCTCTAAATAAATATGGACTGGATCTAGTTCTGTATAAATAATACACTTGATCAAGATCAGATGGGACAGAGAAATGCCTCTGAAATACCAGCTCTTTTCTCTGCTATGATATGAATGAATATAATAATTCTCTCCATGGCCACATCTGTGAAGTAGAACTCTTCTGGTCAAGTTTCTTCTGTGACCAACAGTAAATAGCATTGTAGCTAGAATCATAAAGGCTTCCTTTAATCCCTTCAATGTAACAGCACACAGGGTTTGTCTACACTTACAACATATTTGTGAAGTAATTTCCCTCAGTCTAATCCTTAGCAAGAAATCAAGAACTCAAGCATAAATATCTCAGGAATTTTAAAGAGAGCAAAATGTGTTTCATTATTAATTTCCCATATTGCTTTTTAAAATGAGTAGGATTTTTAAAAATACTCATCTTGATAGTCCACTAAACAATGATCAAAAAACATGTTGCCATAACTTACTTTATATCTGCATAGAAGATTGTAAATACATTTTGAATGACAACAATTCTTGATAATCCTAATGAAGATAAAACTCACAATTTGAACTGAGTAAATGACGCGTAGCAGAACTAGAAATTCTTAAATTATCTGCTGTTAGCTGACAATAATAAAGAGGCATAGAAACAGCTTCAAGAAACTACTACAGTGCATACTGGATTATTTGCAAAAATATTCTGCTGGATCACGCATATCTGCTTGGGTAGGCTCTTAATAGTCATATAACTGATAAATATTTGGGACTAGTGATCCCTTATCTCTCAAAAAATGACTATAGAACAGTAATGTTGCTCCAAGAATTTTTAAAATGAAAAACAAGCTAGATGAAGCCAAAATCCAGATTAGGGCCACCTCAATAAATCAGTGTGCAAGCCTTTGAATTCTCCAGAACTCTTTACTATGCAAAACGATAAGCAAAGCACAGAATAGAAAAGGGAAGCAAAAAGGAAGAAGTCAGCTCCTCCTCCACTCTTGGCTGATAAAAAATTGCTTAGCTTTTTTCAAAATCAGCCAAGTTGGCTAGGGGGGAGAAGCTGGCTAGGGGGCAGAAGCAAACTCTTATAAATAGCCATTTTTACTTATTGTGATAAACATTAATTCTTCATAGCAGATCATATACTACCCATTACTATTCTACCAGCACTTAATGTCTTAAAATTTCTCCATCTCTTTTCCTATCTTTAGTAAACATTTTCCCAAGTTACACAAATGCATCTACTTGCCTTAGTTTTTCACCGTCTATGTTTAATTTGTAATCATTCATTCCCTTTATGCTGGCTAACACAACTACCTTGATCTGTGATACATTTATTGTCAGATCTATAGACATTGTTGTATCAAACAATGTATCTAACATTCTCTGCAAATTATTTAGGTTCTAATCCAACAAAGCAGCATTGTCTCTAAATAGAAGTACACACACATTCACATTCCCAACTAACCAAACTCTAATGTCAGATCAGGCATTATATCTTGTCTTACTCCTGTACAATGTTGAACCATTCCCTAAGGAATCCATTTATCCTTACACATGATTTATATCTATTGTATGCCATTATTTTCACATTCAACAACCATCCTTCAACTCCAAATTTACTTGAAAAAAACCATAATTCAGACTATTCACGTTATTTATTTTTTCTAAAGCAACAAATGTACAATAAACTTTTTCACATACATACATCTATTTATTGACTGATTGGTTGCTTAGGCTTATATGCTGCCCCAATCAATGAGCTACTGAAGAATAACAATCTGGCCTGCATAACTCCTGCCCAGCATAAAGCCACACTGCACTTCCTAAATTTTTCTCATTGTCATCTCTTGTACCCTTCCAATCAGAACTTTGTCAAACAATTTCCCACACTCACACTAACCCCTAAATAGTTTTTGCATTCACTGCTGCTACATTTGCCTTTCTGTAAGAGAATAATAAAGGCCTTCATCCAATCATCGGGTACACATGAAATATTCACATAATATGCAACTTGCCAAGCCACTCCAGAAGCAGATTACAACCATGTTTCAAGAGTTCTCTAATTGTACCATCTACAACTGCAGCCTTTTGGTTTTTCAACATTCTCACAGAGTCATGTTCTGTGAGGTGGGTGGCTATATAAATATGAAGAAATATGAGGAATATGAGGAATAAATTTATGGCTTAATTAGATGCTTTTTTCCCCTTTGACAATAACATTTATAGCATTCATTTCAATTCTACTCTTCAACACATCACTATCATTCCTATACAAACCTCTAAAATATTCCCTTGAGCATTCCCTCATTTCACTTTCATCACAAATATTTCTATTTTTAATATTACTTCATCAGAAGGCTCTTTGTTTAGCCTTCTCCACCCACTTCCAAAGCCATTTTTAATTTCCCTCAAAATTGCTGTACCTTTTCTCTATCTCTTTTAATCTCAATCTTTCCTTGTTCTCTTAACATACTTTGCAGCTATCTTTTTGGTTCTATGCACATTATATAATATCCTTCTCTTATCCTCAGTTGTTTACAACAATTATTCTCTTACATACATTTCTTGTCATCCACAGCCTTTTTCACTTCATCACTACTTAGAATTACTTTGATGATTGAGGCAGCATGCAAATGGACAAATAAATAAATCACTGGACCAAGCATCCTTTTCATACTTCCTATAACTCCACACATATCTGAAGCACTCTGTAATATAATTATTTTCTCTTTGTTCCCAGCAGCTTCCACCCACTCTTCATTCACTCTACTGGGAGATTAATCTAATGCTTTCTCATGCAAGGAAAATGCTTTTTAGAAAGAAGAGGAATAGGATCAAAGAAGGAGACACAACTGAAGAACAATGAGATCATAAGATTCACTCTAAATTAGACCAACCGATTTTGGTTTTTTTGTTAGTTTCTACAGTGAGGGGCCACTCGTATTAAACCTGATGTACAAACCATCAAACAAAAGCAGCAGACAGGTTTGCACAGAAGGTAGAGGAAGGGATGGGGAACTTCTAGTCCTTCTAGTTGATGAAGTGCAACTGCTCATCACCTCATGCAGCATAGACAGAAGCGAAAGACAGTGGGAGTTGTAGTTCTGTAATTTCAGACTGAGGTTTCCTCACCACTACCTATAATAATGTCATCCATGTGTCTTCTACATTTCAGGGTTCACCAAAGTGCTGCCTAGTGTGGAGAAGTCAGAACACAAGAGGCCCAAGTTTAAACTTCCTGGCAAACCATTTTGCCCTGTAGGGCAGCTAAATCAAGCTTTTCTCCCTCAAGATTTCTCTCCCCGCCCCCATTACTATATCCAGATTCAGCAGGCCAAGGCTTCCTGGTCCCCCTTCTTAAAAAATAGCAGTGTTCCTTCAGTGCTGGGAAAGGAAATGCTCTGAACGGACCCAACGCCACTGGCTTCCTCTCTCTGCACAGCTCTGAGGCTAAGCCTCAGGGTAAACCGCCAGAACCGAGGGCCCAGCCATTTATGAAGATCACGCAGTCCACGTGGGACAGGCGGTCTGGATACGCTCGACGGCCTTTTCTTTATTTACTTCACGGCCGACACGCCCGATTAGCCAGGACTGGGCTTAGCCTTGGACTCCTTCCGAGCGCCTTCCCTCAGCGGTGGGAAAGCGAGGGAAAAAAGGCGCGCACACCCTTCGCCCAAGCTCTCAGCCGCGACCCAGGGCCTCGGCCGCGCTCCACCGACGAAGCGACCTGTGTAAGCGTGCCACTTTTGCTCCTCCCCTCCTGCTTCGCTTCGCCTCGTCGCAGTAGCGGCGACGGCGTCCTCGGGATGTGGCTGCGAGTGGCAGGGTCATAGCTCATCGCTGCTGTCGGAGCTGCTCGTCGCCGCTTCGGG